AATCGAAAGTTTGATATTTTTAAACATAAATTCAGCAGATGATTTACCATTATAGCTTCATTTGTGTTGTTGACGGTAAATTGAAACCTTCTTCTCTTTCAAAAAATGGAATTGAATCGTGAACATTTTCGGGTCATTATTTTTCATAACTTTCGACGTGGATTGTCAAGACAAGAGTGCTTCGATGAACTTAATTCTTTATTCAGCGATAAAGCGCCATCCTACAGCACTGTAAAAAATTGGTATAACGAATTTAATCGTGGTCGATGTTCGATCCAGGACGAATCCCGTGCAGGTCGTCCAAAATCCGTTGTTGTGCCAGAAAAGATCGATGCTGTGCGTGAACTGATAAAGCAAGATCGTCATGTGACATACCGTGAGATAGAGGCGTCTTTGGACATTAGTATGACTAGCATCAATAAAATATTGCATGAACATTTGAGCGTAAAAAAAATTTGTTCGCGTTGGATCCCGCATAATCTGACAAACGCTCAAAAAAAGGCTCGTGTCGATTGGTGCAAGGAAATGTTGGAAAAATACGTTCAAGGTACATCAAAGGCTGTGTATAACATCTACACAGGTGACGAATCATGGATCTATGCATATGAGCCGGAAACAAAACAGCAATCAACTGTATGGGTCTTCCAAGACGAGGCAAAACCAACAAAAGTTGTTCGAGGAAGAAGCACATCGAAACAAATGATTGCCTGTTTCTTCGGCATTAACGGTCATGTGGCAACAGTGGCGTTAGAGCAACGCAGGACGGTCAATTCTGAATGGTACACGACCATTTGTTTGCCAGAAGTCATCGGAGAAATTCGAAAAAAGCAGAAGAACAGGCGAATCATTCTTCATCATGACAATGCGAGCTCTCACACATCGACTCAAACAAAGGCATTTCTGACGGAGCGAAAGATCGAACTGATGGGTCATCCGCCGTACAGCCCTGATTTGGCACCCAATGACTTCTTCTTATTCCCACACATCAAAAATAAATTACGTGGACAACGATTTTCGACCCCCGAAGAAGCGGTTGATGCATTCAAAACGCATGTTTTGGAGTTACCTCAATCGGACTGGAAAAAGTGCTTTGAAAATTGGTTCAAACGCATGCAAAAGTGTATTGATCATCATGGAGAATATTTTGAAAAACAATAAAACCAATTTCGATCCTACATATTTGTTTTTTCATTATTAGGCCAGAAATATAAATAGCAACCCTCGTACTTTCTTGAAATTCGAAACCACAGTTATTCTAATTGAACTAACTACGCAACAGTCTTTACAGAAATGTGCAACTAATCGAATGGAATACGTTGAACACGTATTACATCGTAATTTCTGATCCGATAACCTTATAAAACAATAAATTGCTCTCCCGGTCATATGACCAGTTGTGGTAGAAATAGGTATACGACAAGTATTATTCGAAACAAACAAAATACAAAAAAAATAATAATAGAATATTTACTGTATATAATTGTTAGAAAAAATCATAAAGTCAAATGTGCAAAAACGATAGGATGATAAGCGCATTTTCGATGCAAAAGTTCTGAAACGGTCATATGACCGGTTGTGGTATGTCTAGTGGTTCGCATCGTCTGGTGTTAGCTTAGCTAGAGAAAATTAATGTAATAACCCATGGTTTATCCGCTAAACTGATTAACGCACTGTTGCTTCAAGGTTTAATTCCAAGATTACTTTGGATGTTTATGTCCTTCTTTTTGAAAGGTATACTGCATTGCCTTCAGATTTTTTTTTGAGTATATAACCCAGTAGATTTATGATTAAATTGTCGATATAACCTCATCTTCATACATATACTTTGCAATAAACTGTACTTTTCAATGAGCACACAGGACTGCTCATCTCTAACATTTAATAGAAGATGAATGAGACATAAATCCATCGATATATGCACCTAGGTCGCAAACCTAGTTTTAGAATTATTTTAACACGAGTAATCGCGCATAAGATTTTCCTTGCCGCCGATAACAGCTTTGGATTTACTATAAACTTTGGTCGTAAAAAAATGAATCTCAAAAATAAAGAAAGCCTGTTGTTAGCTGCAAGTTTGCTGAGTGTTAGCTAAAAAGTTTTGCTTTCGTTCATCTAAGCCAGTGTTTCTTAACCTTTTTCGTATAATGGACCCCTTTTAAGATTTTTTAAGAAGTCACGGACCCCCTCCCCCTGTGAAAAAAAAATTGCAAAAAGCACAAATTATTAGAAAACATTTAATTTTATTATTTTAATAGTATACAAAATTTTTAATGTGAAGGTTGTTGCTGCTTTTCATTAATTAATAAATTGAATTGAGGGATAATTTTTGACAAAGCAACGCGCATATCATGTTCAACATTCAATCGATTTCGATGTTATGTTTTTATTGTCACCAGTATGGAAAATCCCGCTTCGTAAAGATACACTGTAGCAAACGGAATTATAGCTGCAAACTGAAAGCCGGTTGGTGGAGGATGTTAAAAATATGGCAGGGATGTAAGAAGGCTGTGCGCTATCCGCGCTGAATTTGGGGTATCTCGATCACGGGGTGGCTTGCCGCTCACAAACACCTAGTTTCAAATATTTATGTATTTTCACCGTTCAGAAAAAAAGGATCAATGTTATTTAAATATTATTGATCCAAATGTTTTAAAAATTAAGAGAAATCGGTGGACCCCCAAAATATGACCCATGGACCCCTAAAGGGTCCATGAACCACAGGTTAAGAAACCCTGATCTAAGCACTCCTATCCAATATATTTCTTAAGTATTTATGTTTTTCTTTTACTTTAAGGCCTGAGGGCGTGACCTTCTCGCCTCTGGTACACCAAAACTTTGATGAGTTTCAGGATTTTTAAGTGTTTTACGCGCAATAATTTCTTTATAAGGAACAATACAGTTTGTTGTAGTCAAAACCAAGGCTTCAGAGATGCATCATAGAAAAACCAGACTGTTTTACATGTTACACTTTTAACTGTGACGGGAAACAAGCGAGACTTTGAGATTGATCAAAAGGCAAAAAACTGTGATAGAAGGAGTAGCTGGTTGGTGTACGTGTACTGAAGTGACTTAATAACATCATTCTTTACAAATGAGTAGAGTAATATTAATATAGTAGTAAGAGCAGCAGCAATCGTACTTTTTTTACATCATTCTAAAGCTGCACAATTGGCGACGATCTGGGAGATGAACAGAAGACATGCTATCGCAATTTAGATTTGTAGTAGTAGTAGTACTTTACTTACAACGCACTAGATTTTCTCACTAGGCTATTAACAGTCCTAAAAAGAACACGAAAACCAGCCATCACAATATTGATCCTCTGCGGAGGTGATGTTGGAATAGTAGTAATACTATTTGCGCCGTGCTAGAGCTTCACAATTGGTGACGGTCTGGGAAACATTCATGAGAATGATCCGAAGACATATCATCATGATTCTGATCCTATAAGGGGGGGGATGGCTCACTCGCTTTATAAACCCATTGCCCTAGGATCAAATTCAAGCATTTTACTGTAAAACAGTCTACTGTTAAATAGGACCAATACTGTGTGTCCTCAATCCTTATGCTGGCTGATCAAAATAGTCATCCAACCACTCACAGACCATCGCCAGAGGTGCTTGACTTCCGTGACACACTTGAAACTGTGTCTTACAATCAGTATATACAGAAGGAAAAGACTGTTTTTCATGCTATAGATATACAACTGTACCGGACAACAAGTGGAACCTAGAGATTGATGGAGAGAAAAGAAAAAAAAAGAGCTGTGATAGAAAGGGAAGCTGAATGGGCAAAATAATATGAGTTTTTACAAGGGAGCCTAAAAAGCTAGAATAAACAATTATACGCCTTAAAAGCAAATGCCATCTTTGTTAAAAGTGTGAATGTGGTAATTGAATCGTCGAGGTGTAACGCAATAGTTTCCGTTTGCAAACGTGGTATGGTACGGTACTTTTATTTACATTTCACTGGAGCTGCACAAAGCTTCTGGAGCTTCTCGACAGACTTCACTGGAGCTTCTCGACAGTCTGAGAAACATCCCTGAAGATGATCTGGAGACAACAAACATACGTCGCATCCCGTTTTACAGGAGGACACATTCGCACATCATTCATCCATCCGCAGGTCGTTATTTTAACCTGAAACAGGGCATGATCAATCTCCAATCCAGTACCGCCAGAGGTTATAGAAACTTAGGGAACTTAGGGACCCCGACATATTTAGTTTGCACTAGTCACCATTTTAGAAGTAAACATTCTTGAATAGAAATACGATACACACGGCACTGCTTTCTGTGTCTATAAATGATTTCTTAATATGTACGCACTACCCAGTCGGTGTAGTCCTCGCCAACTATGGATTGGGCCTGGGTTCGATCCCCTGCTAAGGACTGCGTTTTGATCGGAAAGCACTTTCTTCAATCGTGTCTTAGTGGTTTGGGCACTTTAATGTAGTGTCCAGACCCTTAGGAAGTTTTAGAACCCTTAAAGTCGACGTATGATTAGGCGGCGGGATAGCGCACGTGTTGGTGATGCCTACTGATTACTTTCATTAGCCCTTACTTGAAATTGTGGTAGTGTCTTTGGAAAACATACCGCAGTGGACTGATCGTTAAGACACGGTTCCCAGCAGATCACTAAAGTCAAGCATCTCTGGTTGCAGTCAGTGTGCGGGTGAGTGACCAATTCGATCAGTCTGCGTAGGGGCCGAGGGTGTGCGGTATTGCTCCTCGTTAAACTGTTCTACCGTAAAGTGTTCGACTTTGCGCGCAGGTCGTCGGGCTACCCCTCTCGGGTGCCATCCCCTCTGCAGAGTATCAAAATTGTAATGGTTTGTCTTCGGATTATCCTCAAAAGGGCCGTAAGGCCTCAGACGCCCAGTTCCACTACAACGAACGAACGGATCATCCTCAGGGATGCTTCCCAGACCGTCTTCAATAGCCCATTGTGCAGCTCTAGTGCGACGTAAATGAACTACAATACAATACAAATGTCTTTGGAATCGTAAAGGAAAAAATTTCGAACTTTCTCCAACAATATTTAAGCGTGGCTCTAGTTTGACAATAACAACCAAATCAAGCTAAGTTTTTTTTTAAAAATTTATATTAGGTTAGAATGATATGTTTTAAGAGAGTTGATTACGTTCAGCTTTGTATTATGCCTTTTGCTTGCAGGAATTTGGTTCTTCGATAATTATGCAGCTCGTTTCAAATCCTATCCGGATAAACATTTTGCAATCATAAAATTAATTTCACGTATTGAGACTTTGGAGTTAAGAGATGACTGGATTTAAGTCCTTAGCGCGTGAGTATTCATTCAAATAATTTGACTTCAGAACATTTTGTGTAATTATTTTATTTGATGTAAAATTAATTTGTATAGTAGGTCTGATTTTATTTTAAAAACTTTTTTATTGAATCTTAAGTTACTCAGCATTATTATTTTCAGTTCTCATCTACGTTTTGATTTAAATAAAACATTAATCTTTGCATCTAATGAGATTATAAAACTTGCATTTCTCTTCAAAAACCAAGAGAACTAAATGAAAATAAATTGAAAAGAAAGTTGCACTTATATTTTTTATTCAATTTTTTTCTTAAATTAAAAAGATAAAATTTGATAAAAATTTAATTTCCGTTGCAGTATATTAGAAAAGCTAAATAAATTCATACAATGGAAAACAAGTTTTTAATTCCAAATAGGGATAGGATATACCTTGCTACCTAAGCTACTCTTGTATATTGCAAACTCCATGCTATATATAAAAATTGCATTGTTGCCATGCTATAGTTGCTATTGTGCCGTGCTATATTGCTATTTCTTTGCTATTGTTGAAAAATAGCAGGTGTGAAGTAAATATTGGCAAGTGGTCAATGGCTATTTTCTTAACTGGGTGAATGATTACTAATTAGGACCTGGTAAATTGCACATCTTTTCAGATCGCTCCTACTCAGAATAGGCTCATTGTGCATAAGTTGAAACTTTCAAAAAGAAATTTTTTTCGTTGTTGTATTTTAATTAAATTGTGAAGGGAGAGACAGGAGTTTTAAATTTATAAAAAAAGAACTGCATTACGGTTAAAGTAACTAAATTTGTTTCATTTATGAATATTCTAAAACCTATAGTCCCGCAGTGGACTGATCATTAAGACACGGTTCCCAGAAGATCACCGATGTCTATCATCACAGGACAGCGGTCAGTGGGCAGATGGGTGACCCCTTGAATCAGTCTGCGTAGGGACCGAGGGTGTGCGGTATTGCTCCTCAATGAAATGTTCCACCGTAAAGTACTCGACTTCACGTGTAGGTNCAGCTCTAGTGCGACGTAAATGAACTACTACTACTCTAAAACCTATATTGTTCAACTGAAAATATTGAATAGTTATAAATAAAAAAAATTGCTGACAGTCCTAAATTTTTTATTATCTATTATATCGTAGTATCATTCATAGTATCATAAATCATGGAACCTAGTTTATAAATCTGTACCAAAGATCGTTCTTTTCTCGAATCTTTATTAAAGAATGCTAAGCAATCATCTTTTTTCATTCTTATCATCAAAATAAGTACGCATCTAATCTTAATTATTGTTATTACTCACAAATATCATTAAAAATATTAATAAAGTTTACAAATCAAATTTGATAAACGATCTATACAATGTTTTTCATCTGAACTGCTTGCATATGTTTATAAAATAGAGCGTAACATGTGATATCGAAGGGGATATGTCGAAGTGTGCCATTTTGTGACAAAGATGAAGTGTGTTTCAAAATTATTGAGAAAAAAAACTGACACTATTTACGGATGTTTTCCTCTTAGAATCAGCAGTCTAATGGAATCAGGTAAACTTTAGGTACTGGTGTGATTACATTAAGCGTATGTTTTGTCATTCTTCCTCAGTGAAAATGGGTTATCATTGAAACAGTTTCAACATTGATTAATAATATCGGTGCCTTGAAATCATAGTACATTGCAAGTTTTTTTGCAAACTTAATAAGGTTTACAAGTTGAACCGTATTATTGCGGTATTATCCGGATTTTATCCAGTAGTAAGTATGATGACAGTTAAATTAGACATCGTATTAAGAGTACGTTATGCTAAGGAAGAAATCCTTAATGGCAAATTCTCTTTCACCTACCTAAGTAATTTCAAATTTTAAGGAAAGGTGAGGAGTTGAGGTAAACCGTGAAGCTTCAAAGTACCAAAAAAAGTGTTTTCAAAACATGTTTCCTCTGCATCTTGGTCATCACGCCCCAATATTTTTTATGACATTTCTAAAGCTGCGAACTTACCACTACTCATTACGCAGTCTTATTTAGCAGCCTTATTATCAGTGGAGAAATAATGATTATTTAATGAATCCCAAACCATGTCGAGGTTCTTGGTAGCTAGCAGGGACATATACAAGTTACACCAGCCTTGAGTTTGCCTTAGCACCACCCTTTTCTCCCCATGATAAATTATGAAGCTCTAATCAAGACGAAATATAATATTTCAAGAATACTTCATTATGGTAATATAGTTACTGGAAAAAATTGGGAGTGTCTTTTGCAAGAGATAAATAGAATTCAGTCTAATTTACATAGGGAGATAGGCGTTGCTTGCTCTCGAATGTTGACCATGACCTCGCTCTCGATGTCAAGAATACCTCCAGCTGCTTCTCAATTGAATCGGCCCATCCACCTCTCTTTCATGTACCCTTTGTGGAGGTTGTTTCTAAATAGAACCCTTTTTTTCTGTGCTCCAAATTCAAAAGACGCCCAGACGACCGGTGGTTGAGCGGTAGCGCTTCGCGCTGTCGTGCCACAGGTCCTTGGTTCGATCTTCGGGCCGGGCAAGGTAGACTCAGCCTTTCATCCCTTCAGTGGGTCGATAAATGNGACATTTCTAAAGCTGCGAACTTTCCACTCCTCATTACGCAGTCTTATTTAGTAGTCTTATTGATAATGGAGAAATAATGGTTATTTAATGGTTATCAAAACCATGTCGAGATTCTTGGTAGCTAGCAGGGAGATATACAAGTTAAACCAGCCGTGAGTTTGCCACAGCGCCACCCTTTTTTCCCTATTATAAATCATGAAGCTCAATATTCAAAACGAAATATAATATTTCAGGAATACTTCATTATGGTAATATAGTTGCTGGAAAAAATTGGGTGAAACTCTCAGAGTTTCTTACAAATACTTGAGAATCGAAATTATTGTAAAATGATTTTATATTGAATGATAGAGTCCATTTGTTTGAGCAATTTGCTTGTTTAGAAATTCTTAAAAGCCTGTTTCGACCAAAACTGGCAGATTTTCAGAGTATGTTATTACGCTTACATCACACACTGCGAATATTTTCTAACGTTTTTTAATGAGAAGGTTATTTGAAATAGGTTTCAAATTGAAAAGTGAGCGTCAATTTAATTTTTTTTAATTTTATAATGGTTAACCCAATACTGAGTTTATGATTATCAATGTTCCACTCAGTAACCTTGTAATTTTGAATTGAATCAAGAAGACAAGGGTATTCTAAAATCAAGTATTGGGACAAATTAAGCCTCGTCGAGAACTTTTGATGAAGCTAACCAGTATTTATGCTACATAGAAAGGAAAACCAAGCAAAACTTCCACGGCTAGCCCGATAACAAAGTGATTCTAACACATGATCCGTCTACCACTGTGGATATTTTATGTCAGCACTGTGGTAAGTGCGAACGTGGAATAAATTTTGCATCGGCCAGACAAAGCTGGAATTCGAGACTGGGTCATTTTACTAGGAGGCGAGCACTTTATCCCCTGAACTACCATAGCTCTAGTCAATTTAATTGAAAGCAGCCCACTATTGTAATATTTCAAGTAATATTCAATTCATTTCCTTAAAAAAAATACCTGTTAATTAATCAACACGCTAAGTTTAGAGTACGTATATCGCTAACATAAGGGTAGACAGTTGGAGAATTTTTTAAAAATTTTTTGAAATGCTAAGTTCAGTTGAGACTGGTTTTATAATGAAGTGTCAATTTAATTGAAAACACCCCAATATGCCAAGTAATATTCAATTAAAATAAAGTAAATTTGCTTCGTTCTCAATACGCTAGTATATCATAAGGATGGACAATTTGCAAAATTTTAATATATTTTTGCAATGCAAAATTTATTTGGAACTGGCTTCATAATGATCAATGAAAATTAAATTAAAAACGAATTAATTTTAGTAAATTAAGTAAATAATGAAATTAATTAATACTTTTTCTTAATTAAATTGAAAAAAAGCATTAATTAATTTTAAAAAGTATTTGCTTCGTCCTAAACGCCCTAAACTCAAAGTATGTATAACGTTAATGAGGACACTTTGCGAAAGTTTCGTACTTTTTTGCGCATGTGAAATTTTTATAAAAATGGTTTTATATTGTTTAATTTGTAATTTTTATGAAAGTTAGCGTCAATTTGTTTGAAAATACCAGTCACGAAATATTCTTTGAAAATTTATTTATTCCAAAACACACTAATTTCAGAGTATGTTTATGTCTAAAATACTGCGGTGCAGTTGAAAAGATAAAGTTAATACTTCTTAATAGATTTCGAGATAAATAGCTTGACAACTATTTTCTTTCGATTGCTAATGCTATGAACTTTAAATTGATTTTAAAGAAAACTTATAAAACAGAATTCATTTATTTATTTTTTGCAATAGTTAGTTTATTATACAAAAATGGCAAAATTATAAAATCTCAATTTCGAATTTTATGACGCTTATGATTTTCCTCTCGCACGGCAGCATAGGGGTTGACAATTTTCGACTTTCGATCCTTAGGAATTTAGAAAGAAATTTCTAGCTAGTATGCAAGCAAATATTGAGAAAAATCAATTATAAAATACACCCGGAGTACCATGATGTCTCATGTAGATAAGAATTTTTGTCACATTTACGTTTTTGAGACATATTGTGCATTAGTAGGAAAATAGAACTAATGTTATCTTATCACTAATACCAAGTTCAATCGTATTTGTTCAGTTTTGATACTTACCTTTTGATACGTCTGATTTAAATTTCCTCAGATAAAAAAAAGATATTTGATTTTTTTTCTTTGTTCCCATTGACAATAGGTATTTACGACAGCTGCATAGTATCTAAACGTAAGTTTTTATACTTTATTTGTTGTTAACTTGTTCTCTAGTTAAAATTTGTTCAAATATGAAACTTTAAAGCATTTTCGAACGTTATATTAAAACAATCGAAACCTTTCCCTTCGCTAGTCATTGTTAAATTTTCTTTTTAAAAAAGATCAATTTGTTTTAATCTTTCCTTACATA